ACATGATCTACTCGACCACCATTATGGTTACCGCAAAAAAAAGAGGTTGAAAACCAAACGGTAACCTGGTTGCCGAGTTCACGAAGTGAATTGGCTTGTTTTACAAGGTCGTTGCCAAGCGATGAAAACCCACTCCCGATGGCAAACACCGGGGGGGGGTCGTTGTCTGTATGGAAGTGATTCATTTGAATGCCACCATCGGCGATGAAAGGTACACAAGTGCGTTCCAGCTGGCGTGTGCTCTACAGAAGGTGCACTCTACATTAGCGCTACGTTGTCTACGAACCCAGCCTACGGCCCGCCAAGCTCCACAAGTGGTATTCGACCACCCCCCCGTACCTGAGCATACCCTTCCACTGGTACGCGGAGTGCCCGCGCTATCATGGGCAGTTCAGAGGGCGGCCTCCGGAAAACCGTCGCCACTTTGCCAGTAGACTTCGCAAGGAATGTAAGCTTGGTTTGTAGTAGGGGGTTAGTTAGGGAAAGGATACGAAACACCCCGCTCTATTTCATGCATTACCTCTAAAATTCTCGCGAGGACGGCCGCCACTTACACTTTACGCGTTTACTCCGTTTTGGGGAGCGGAACCTTCGGGTCCCCCTTCTCAAGCAAACCACTTCAGCTTTTACCATGGTGCAACTAATGTCATGTGCGCCCTCGCCAAATGCACGGTTCAGCTACGACCGTCACGACTCGTCCACGTTCATAAATGACCGCTGAGTCTCAGGGAACGTATGGTTGAATACACAGCATTTTGCGATATCGCGGCTGGGCTTGAATTAACCCTTTGCTGTGCCCCCCTCTCGGCATCAGTGACTTGTTAGTTTCAGGCTGATTTCGGTTCCGCCGACGCTGCCGTCTTTTGATTGGTCAGCCGGTTATTGCGTGGTCTATCTATGCCAATAAGAATTATACGCACAAACACTATGATAGGTTCCCCCATGACTTCCCCAAACGGGAGCTCAGTTGAAACGCGTTCCGCTCTTGGCTGCACTGAGACTGGCGTATTGTCATCGGCCAGCCGGTTCGAGCGCTGTCGGTTCCAAATTCAGATTCATTCATGCATACCTAACACAAGCAAAGGGTAGCTGCTGTTCGGTACGTTTTCAACACAGAAAACACAAGCAAAAGGGTAGATACCATGGAAGTACTTGTTAGCGTTGCTTTTTTTCTTCCGGAATGTTTTTTTTGTTCACGGCGCTTCGCATGGCTCCTCCTGCATGCCTCTTTTTCTTCTCTCTGGCAAAGATCATCCCCACCTCGTCCGTTTTCGCCTAATTTCCGCGCAGTTCAGGCGATCCCGACAAATACGGTGGGCGCTGTGCTGCCAGTTTCGGTAGGCAGGGGGGTGGTATCCAACGTACAGATCGGCAACCGGGGGCGCGGTGTGTTCTCTGCTGGAGCAAACTCGTTACTGTAGTAAGCGTAAGGCGAGATATACTCCATACACACCGGGCCTGCGTGCCGGAGGTTCGCTTGCTCCTGCTACTGGGTGAAGAGAGGGTAGGAGTGTAAGTACGAGGAAGGGAGGACCATGGTGGACTGGGAGGCGGAGGGGAAGGTGATGCCGGACTTCGACAAGCTCGAGAACCAGAAGAGGCAGGGGGCCCAGCGGGAGGGAGACCTCCCCCTCTGGGCGGCCAGGCAGCAGAAGGTCTTCACAAACTGGATAAACAACAAGGCAAGAGAGAGGGGGGGGGTGGCAGCGAGAGAGACAGAGAGGCAGGCAGGCAGGCAGTCAGGCAGGCAGATAGAGAGCGAGCGAGACAGACAGAGACAGACAAGAGACAGACAGACAGGCAGACAGACAGACAGACAGACAGACAGACAGAAAAACAGACAAACAGACAGACAGACAGAGACGAGTCTACCCGAGGCGTTGAAAAGGACCGCGAGTTTTGTAGCCAGCGAAAGGGGTGGACTTGGCACATGGAGGGCTACCATCCCCGTGTCATGTCGCCTGAGTTTTCTGCTCAAAAAGGGTATCATGCGCAGCATCCAACTCGCGAGTTGACCATTCCCTGCTCTCTACACCCACGCAGCCTGCTCTTGAGGGTCTTGATGGATTGATGGAAGAAATCGTGAATAAATGAAATGGCGCCGATAAGGCGGTGCGTCTTGTCTTGGTAGGGATGTCGCCGGTCTCTTATGTATGGATGACACGCCTGCTACGGAAAGCATAGACGTTTGAAATATTTGCAGCCTTATCGTACAGAAATAAAGGTAAAGACCGAAGATAAAACCGCGTGCCTGCGTGTAAACAAACATCTGTAGGTATACGTATTTGTTCGGTGTCACCATGTATGCGTAGCCATAGATAGGGTCGTCGTGTTCACAGCAGTAACGTTTGCTGATTGTTGTTTTTTCCTGTGGTACGCACGCTCGTATCCACGTTCCGTTATGTAGCCGTTGTAACGTGCGAACTCCCTTTCCCGTCCGTCATCAGCAGCAGCGTCCACGATGATGCTTATTTCTTGTTCCTCTTCGCCGCCATAAAAAAAAAAAAATGTTTTGGGCAGGTGTGCGACCGGCCTCTCTCAGTGTGCGACCTGTTCGTTGACCTCCAGGTGCGTAGTTACGTACGTACAGCGGTGGTGGGCCCGGTTTGGTTTAGCGACCCCTTGTTAAAGTGCCAAGGAGGAAATGAAGCGGTTTCAGGTCGGGCAAGGTTGCTGTTGCCGGTAGTAGCGGTAACTTTGGGCTGCAGTGTAGCGGCGCAGCTGTACGACGGCGTTTCTCTGTGACGGAAAGCTTACATTCGTTTTTCATGTGGGCAGCCGGATGATGTATTGAAACGGAACATATCAAACGAAAGAAAGGGAACGACAGACAACAGAGCCGGCATTGGCAAGGGCGGCAATACAACAACGACGATGAGAGTTTGTACCTTTGCGGCAGCAAAACCAAAAGCTAGGAAAAACAACTGAAACAAGTACGTACTCGACGCTCGCTAATATCACACTTAACACGAATGCAACGTATTTAACAAACAGCTATTTACGTACAAATTCATCCGACTTGCCCCCCTCCTTTTTTTTTTTTTTCGTCCGTTGGTTGTTCCCTCGTTGTCGTTGGGCTTGGTTGCGCAGGACGGCACCGTGCTTTACGGCCTCCTCGAGGTGTTGTCCAAGCAGAGCCTCGCGGTCCTGGGGAAGGTCAAGCCGGAGCGAAACAAAATCAAGAAGATCGCCAACATGAACATCGTCTGGAAGTGAGAGTCGGGGAGGGGCGGCCGTACTTAGGCCTTTGCTCTATCGGCCGCTTTATTATTTTTAGATACACAAACTTTATCTCCATACTAATTTCAAGTAAATTACACCTTCTTATTCTCCGTCATACAAACAAGACGGCTGAGCAAAGGCCTAGCCGTACTCATGGTTTGCGTGCCTTCGGACCACCGATGGCCAGTCGTTCCTTCCTACTCTGCTCAGAAACGCGTTCCTTATCCTTTTCCTATTGATCGATATCACGGGCGGGGCGGGGGGTTCATGGACCGGGACATGAGTGTTTCCCCTTCCACATGCCACCACCGTTTATTTTGTTGTCCTCGTGGTCGTCTTGGTGTATGAAGAGGCTCAGCGAATGGCGCCTATCGATTTCGCTCTCCGGCTCTTGCCCTCACCCACCAGTCGTCGGTCAATGCCTTTCTCTCCTAGCCCGAGTCACCACTCCCCCACACACGCGCGCCGCCACCACGCGCCCCCCTCCTTGCAAGTAGAATTGTATGGCAGGTGGCAGCAGCACGGGGTGGTACTGTAGGTGTGGCTCAAACGTCCTCAGGTCGTGCTTCCGTTTTCGAAGGGCAGAGGCGGCGCTCCTCTCTTCTGCAGAAGGGGCCTGCCGTTCGAAAGTTTTTCGTGAAGAAACAGGGGCTGGGATTTTTCTACTCAGGACAACGAGAAAATTGTCTGAGAAAAACAGCTCAGCGTTCGATTCTGGACTCATCTCTATATAACGGCCTATGCTAGACAGCAGTATTGGCGATGGAAATAAGAAACTGGATCTCGACCAGATTTTGACGCTTATCTCCTGGCCCGTTCTGCATGTGACCCTCTCCTCTAAAGTGTCTTTTCCCCTCTACATCGAGACCCTATCCTCTAAATCTGGACCCTCCCTCCTGTAGGAGAACCGGCCAGTGGGCAGAACAATCGAAACCTAGCAGCCCGATGGGTATGGTAACTCCCCCATATCCCTATTTGTCAGAAATCTCGGTGTGTTGAGCGCTGATGAGCAAAAAACAAAAAAAAAAACTCTTTTGCTACCCCCTCCTGCGGTTTCTGCCTCCCAGGTACTTGGGAAACACGGTGAAGCTGGTGGGGATAGGGCCGACGGACATCGTGGACGGTAACGTCACGCTTACTCTCGGCATGATCTGGTCCCTCATCGTGTTCTTCATGGCCTTAGACCTAGGGGACGCCGGGGACGGCCTGACCGTGCTCAAGAAAAGGTGATGGG